CACGTTGCTTGACACCTGTCACAAATTGATGCATTTTGTCTTCTAGCTCTGGTGGAGCATGAGAGGTCGTCTTTTAAAATATCTCCTCACATTTTTTCCTTCTGCTTCAGCCGTCAAAAGGATTTCGTGCCAATGGCCAAAATGTGTCATATATCGTCTTGGTGCAAAAGAGAGTGGTGTGCTCTACAAGGGAGAACTACTGTACTTTCAGTCTTTCTAGGAGCGTTAAGAAAGTGTATGTAAAGGCTGTAAATGCAGCAGGGAAATCTTCTCCCACTGTAGTACAGATTTACAAACATAAAGGTAACTCACTCACAAAACAAATGCATGCATCATATCATGTGACATGTAGAATATGATATGCATCTTTTTCTGTCTGTAGCTCATCCTGTAGTATTAGATGCCACAGCAGTCCCATATGGAAACAATTCATTTCTTGTTCAGTGGAGAAGCATGGATTCCTCAGGACTCAGCGATTATGTGGTGAAATGGAGACCTTTGTTAAAATCAGGCCTCTCCCACATCCAGTTTGACATTGCTGGCCAAAACCAGTCCAGCATTGTTATAACAGGTATGTTTTACAATATTTGTCTTCCGCTTTCCTAATCGGATGATTATCCTCTACAACAAGAATTCGAACAATCACTCTTGTGTAAGATCTTCCTTTTCCTGTGCTTAACCTGCCTCTACACACTGTTAGACTCCTGTGGGCAATGATCCACCCTAACCTCTTCTCACTCATCAACAGGCAGCTTTGAGCCCTACAAGCCCTATGGGATCTCTGTATATCCAAGGTTTACGGATGGGATAGGCCCTCCTAAGACATTTAATGCCTACTTGAGAGAGAAGGGTAAGTCACCCAAGACACAAAGAGTCTCACACAAGCCAGCAGAGGTGTGAGCCAGACTCCCTCAACTTTGAAGTAGTCAGAAGAGCGTTGACTTACAGAATATATATTTTGTAATCTCTCACAGAACAGCTGATACATGATGAAATAATGCCCTCTTGTGGAAAGAAATGAATAACCTATTGGAGTAAAGACCTGAGCTGTCTAATATAATGACTAATGGTTAAAAACTCTTTCTAGTTCTACTAATCACTTGTGATGTTGTTCTTTTTAAAGCCCCATCCATGGTTCCAAAATTACATATTCAAAAGACCTGGAATTCAGATATTAAGATTACCTGGGATGAAATACCATTAGACCAACGAAATGGAAAGATCCAAGACTACACAGTCTTCTACTGGAATCAGAAGGGACCCGTTAACGGTAGGTTAAATACCTTATCTCTGCTATGTTGTATAGGATATTTTAAGTACTTGATCCCCTCTAATGTTTAACTGTTCTTCAGTTGTGAACGTAGATACAGAAAAAAGAAGTGTGATCCTTAAAGACCCCAGTGTGCATGGAGCTATCTTGATGGTTAGCACATTTGGTGGGAGCTTGAATGGGTCAGCAGTTCATTTTGAATTTCAGCCCTTTGGTTAGTACGATCATTTTTTCTTTGGAGAAAGTCAACACAAACAGAATATGATCAGACGTGACATTACGTGTCTTTTCTTTTCTCAGATGAGGTCGCTAGTGCGATGATTGTAATCGGATCAGTTTTTGGACTTTCATTGCTGATTATTTTCATAGTCCTAACTTGTTTCTCCAAACATGAAAGGTAAGCTCATGCTCATACTGTTTAAGCTGGGAAGCTGTAATGCTGTTTATTCTTAACACACTACCCTAATTCTTTTTTTCTTTAACTTCAAGGTTTAAGGGGATTTTTTGGCCAGTTGTTCCAGACCCAGCTAACAGCTTTGTCCTAAGACTGACATCAGAATCAACACAGGTGTGAAAGCGGACATCCATTAGAGGACAACAGAAATGTTTTTATACATTTATACGTTCCTTATTACTAATGTTTTTGATTAAAGCTGCAAAAATCTGCAATATGTAGAATGAAGAGGTTGAACCCTACAGGGAATGACTGTGAAATTCTGCAGAAACAGTTTAGCTTCTTCCTTCTCATTATTTGGTTTAATGCCCTGTTAATTTGTTGTTTTAGCTTTCAGTGCTTTTCAATGGAATTAAGACAAATTTAACAAATGCCCGCTAAACACAGAGGTTCATTTAACAGAGAAAGAGGCTGTTTAAGGTCTCCATCAGGATCTGGTGAAAACTAACAGGAGACTTAATTTAAAGCATTCCAACTGATATTAATTTCTAATGTTGGATATTTAAAGCTTGTTTTGCTGCATGAGTGAAAAAAAGACATGACATGGTGTAAAGCCAAGAAATTGATACGATTGTTGTCTCATTTATTTTTCACTTGCAGTATACCCATCCTTCATGTGACAGCGAGGATCCGATATATTTGTCCCACCTCAGCTTTCCGGACATCCCCATGAAACTAAGCAAAGAGGAGGATGATCTTTGGATAAACAGTTCAGAAGAGACCAGTGACCTTGGAGAGTCTATTTGTGGTTCGCCCTTCATCACCGAATACTCTGGCTCAAACAGTGACTCTGTTCCTTATGCTACTGTGGTGTTCTCTGGTTTTTGTAACAGCCCACCGCCCAAAGAGCCTCATGTCTACCTGCGTTCTGAATCTACACAGCCCCTCTTAGAGGCAGAGGAACCTTTCACTCCGAAGTGTTACCAGAATCTAGCACTAGGTGGAATGACAGAGGAGCAGCATTTTTTTGGGCCAAGCCATGATTGTGTACCTGAAGAAGTGGCAGACCCAGAGAGTCTTTGGGATGACTTTCCTTTTCTACGAGCATTAGCCATGAATGATACTGAAAATGACTAAAGCACCATTGGCAATTACAAGTAGAACTGCTTTGTTGGAGGCTTACATAGATCTAAGTATGTGCAATGAATTTAATGTGATAACGTACACAGCTGTAAATAACATGGCTACTAGCTAGAATTTTTTTTAAGCTGATAGAAATCATGTTGATATTTACTGATTATCATTGCAAAGTTTTTGTATACTTTGTAAAACTTCTGCAGCAAATGAAGTTTCTTTTTGCTTTTTACTTTTTACTTTAACCTCCTAGGACCTGATATCCACTTATGATGACATTATACTGCTACTGTTCTATCAAAATTTTAAATGAATATCCTCATGTTGCTCTTATTTTTCTTAAAAACAAAAATAAGGGGAAAAAAATTCTTTGTTTTTACATTCATCGGGCCCCAATATGCCCAAATATCAAAGAACAAACTAAAAGTGCATGCCGTGGAAGAGTTTGGGTCTTAGGAGGTTAAACTGTATTGTTGAGATTATATTTTTTGTGGATTACATGTGAATTCTCTGATTGAATGTTTTACACCTTAAAAGTGTTTTCAATAAAAGTACTTTTTTAATATTTTAATGCTAAATATAGATACTATTTAAAACAGCACACTAATCTGAGATTAGCAGGACAAATTTGCTGGAAAACTCAGAAATGTCACATAAACTGATTTATAGATCCATTTATAAAAGCTGTATAAAGGATAATTAGTAACAGTAATCATCTGTAACAGACAACTTAACAGAGAACCAATTTTAAACCAGTACGTTCTTTCTAGCAGTAATTTGTTGCAAAACATATAATTTGTTTGACTTTAGTTTTGTTTAGTTAAATATATGAAAATTGTCAAAGAGAACAGTTTGGCAGGCATAAAATAATATTTTTGCACCAACATGATGATTCTCAAAGAATTCCTGGATGAAAACTTGGCATATCAGTGTCACCTTTAAAAGAAATCAGAAGACACTTGACTAGTGGAGGACAAAAAGAAGAAGGGTCAGGCCTAAAAATTATCTACAGCAGACAACCAGCATCTGAAAGTCATGTTCTTAAGAAATAGGGGAGGGGGGGACTCACAAAGACTGGACATATTTCTCGAGTCTCTCTGGGATATAGGGAGAAAAAGGGAGAAAAGTTATATTACAAAAGTAATGTTAAGTTGAATTATACAAGAACTGGACTGAAAAATCAGTGGAAATTGATCTTGTAAAGCGGTGAATTCAAATGTTAAAATTTCAGGTTCAAAGAATCTTTAATAGGAGGTCAGAATAGAGAAAATTGAAGCTGTGTCCAGGTTCAGAGCTGCATTTCTTGTACGAATTAGTGGCAGAAATGTACCATCAGATTTTGATCCACCGCACGATTCTGGAAAGTGTCTAATTAGCAAATCTTCATTTTTCAGTATGACAGTGATCCCAAACACACTGGAAAATGCAATAAAAAGCATACCTGCATAGAAATTAAACACAAAATGGATCATCATGCGTCCTGGATTGATCTCTCCAGAGTCCACATCTCAACATTATTGAATCGGTGTGGGATCATCTTGACAGAGAATGAAAGAAAAGGCAGTCAACATCCAGAGAACATTTGAATATCCTTCTGGAAGCCAGGAAAGTTATTCCTGAAGAATACTTCAAACTACAAGAAAGTTTGCCCAAGAGAGTCCTGGTTATGTTGAAGAATGTGGTCATACCAAATAATTTAGCATTGTACAAACTCTGTTTTTGTCTTATATATTGTATTTCCCCGTTTCAATACACCAATTTCCCCTTTTCCCAGCAAAGAAACGGGTAGTATTTTAGGAGGTTTGCACAGCATGTATGTCAGCAGTTATAAATTGACAGTTTATTACCATCAGTGCTCTTTTTACTGCTTTTTATTTAAAAGTAACAGTAATAATTTTGGGAGGGGGCACTTCTCATTAACTGTGACTGCTTCAATTATTAAACCAAACAATTGTCACTGAAAATAATAATAATAATGAAATGTAACGATGAAAGATTCCAAAAGTCGTTTTACGCTCGTTTTTATCGACGTGCTCTGGGATTGTTATTTTAGCCTAGTACAGCATCTCGCAATCGCTACTCGGCTAGTTTAGTCTAACCAAAATGGCGATCCTCATGTAGGGGTCGAGTGTGATTATTGGACGAATTTTTCAGCAGTTTTAGACAGTTTATTCTCCGTCTTTGTTATCTATACTGTGAGCCATGTTCACAAACATAGGCCTGAGGGCAGTTCTCAAGGTCCAAGCTAGTGTTTTGCGGGAAAGCTCGGCAGCTCTCTGTTGTGCTGCATCAGTCAAACCGTGGACGAACAGGTCGAGTTTACTGTCAGGACCAAAAGTGAGAAGTGGTAAGTGTGAGGAAGACAAAACTTTCTTGTGGGTAAATATCAGTCAAAACATGTGTTTCTGTGAGCAGTTCGTAATTTCGCTAGGTCTTCTTGGGAAGTAACTAACACGAACGGCAGGCGGCACTGTTGGCGGAGCTACATGTTACCCTGATAAGCGGAAAGACCGCATACTTGACGTCTGAAACGATTTTCACCATAACGTACTCCAAAGTGTAGTAATCGGCTTTGCACAGCCTCCCTACGCAATTCATTTTTCTATTACACAGTTCTCTCCACACCACCAAGACAGTGTGAAGTTACTGGCAGGTGTTTCGTCAGCTGCTCAGCTACTTGTCATTGAAAACAGTCTTTCACAAAAACCCATATGTTCATATTTCTTTTGTTGAGTCTATGAAAAATGCCAAGTGTGGGATTTCTCATAGATTCTTACAGATTTGTTGAGTTTCAAATGTGTACAACTATGTGTGGCTGATATTTTTTTTTCTCAGGTAGGATATGATGCCACACGCAAAACCAAGCAGTGTAAACACAGGGCAGTTTCACAGTCTGAATTGGCTGTTGTTTTAAGTCCTGCTTCCTTTGTTGCAGATTTGCTCATTTTCCCTTCCAAAAACTTTCTGTGCATACGACAGTCTAAAAATATTAAAGTGCGCAAGGATCTCCTGGTGTGCACAAACCGGGTTACATCTTCATGTGGAGTCTTGATTCTCTTTTCATACTTTTCACACAGTCTCAGCTCCCACATAGATCAATAAATGCATGCTGTGTGGAAAACTGGGACATCTGAGTTTTGCTTTTTTGGGGGGTTGATTTGTGTGTAATTTCTAAGTAGACAGGATAGCTTGTCAACTCTCAGATAGAGGGACTTTGAAGAGCCTCTCACAGCTCTTTTCACACACCTCCGTGTGCAAAACTGATGCCTGCTAATCAGAGGGTTGTTGCACACACAGGGTGTGAAACAAACAAAAAGAATATCAGAAATATTTTTGACACAAAGCCTCTAAAAGAGGACTAGGTAACAGTGTAGTGCTTTAGCTACTTGAAACTTTTCTCCCCTAAATGTTTTTGTGGTTATCTCCCCTTCTGCACTTCTTTGCTGCTTAATCTGATGCAATATCTTGCTTTCTTATCATAATATCTGGAGCATCTACAGAAGCTTTTCTTTCATTTCCCCCCTCAAGTCTACTAGAATATGACAGCTTTTTTTTCTTTCTTTTTTTTTCTCACTGTTGCAGCCTATGCACTGACAGTCACAGGTTTGCCAGCCCTTCAGTGACAGGCATGAATAAGAGCTGTTTGGCTTGCAGGCCGCTTCTCTCTACAGTGCTATGACTAATACAGCAAATAAATACTTTTTAACCCAAGGTTTGTACGCTGTACACTGCAGTCTATCAGAATTGAAATCACCAGCAGTGTCTCAAGAAAAATGTATGCTACCTTGAAATTTTTTACTTTGGTTTCTGCTGTTGATAACTTTAAAATAAGGTACAGAGAATTTCTATTAAACTATTCTCAACAGCAAAGATTACTGCCAGGTGAAAACTCGGTGAAAAGCTCTTTCCTGATGAGTTTCCTTCAGTGGATTGCAATATTAGTTGCACACGTTGGTGGATTTTTGAAGGAGGGCTGAACTGTCGCATAACATTAGAGAGGAAGTGACATCATTTGCTATTTTGATATTGAAAACCACTGCTCTTATCGCCATCTGATATGTACATAGTTGCGTTTTAGGGTGAGTGTTTGACAACCGTTTTAGAAAGATTATCTTAGTTTTACTCTACAAGTTTCTCCATCAGTCACGCAAATTAAGCTTCATGAGTCGTTTCATCATCCTGTAGATTTCATTTATGTATTTTATTTTTTTTGTTATAATAAATTAATGATTTTCTGACAACTCAGCTTGCAGCAGAAATGTTTTTATTATGTATTATCCCAGAGAGGTGTTTCTCTACAAATAGGATAGTAAAGTTATCCCAGAACTTAGGGGTCTGCTTATGCTACCCTATTACCTGCTGTGTTTTTGAATCATTTCCATTCATGCTTATAGGAAGGAAGATCTTGGAGTATTTCGGGATAATATTTAGAGGGACAATACTCCTCATAATTTAAAATAGCTTATTCACAAATAAATGTTAGAGATTATAAGTAACTTTCAGGCTTTGTTGTTTTTCATACAGCTCTCTTACGCTCTTGCTGTGTCTTTGGGCTTATTTGTCACACTCATATTTCAGATCATCAAACAAACTTCAATAGAAGATGAGAACCCAAGTAAATAGAAAAGGCTTTTTTTTTTTTGTTGTTTTCTTTTTTTAGGGGAAAAAAAGTTACCCAAACCTACCTCAACCTATGTGGAAAATTAATTCATCTAAATCTAAGAACACTGTGTTACCTTTGGCAGTCATTCATTTGCAATAAGTGGCAATGAGTCCTTCACATCATTGTGGAGGAATTTTTGGCTCACTCTTTGTGGAATTCTTTTAGTCACAATGACATGAAAGGTCATGTCAAAGCATTTCTATCAGATTTAAGTCTGGACTTTGAATAAACCACTCCAAAACTGTCATTGTATTTTTAATTTTCTGTTGTTTGCTTTGTTTTGGGGTTGTTGTTTTTTTTGTCTTTTCTGTTGTTGTTTTAAAGCCATTCAGAGGACCTGCTGGCTTGTTTTTGATCATTGTCCTGTTGCATAAGCCAAGTGCGCTTGAGCTTCAGGGTACAAAACGATTGCTGGACATTCTCTTACGGGATTTTCTGGTAGAGCGCAGAATTCATAGTTCCGTCGATTACAGTAAATCATTCACCTCGAGAAGGAGCAACGGGAATCAAACTTGACTATTTTTATTATGTGCTTATGATGCTGACCCCAAAGGTTTTTGAGCGATCAGCAAGATCAGCAGCAGTGGTTTCTGCCCCGGAACTTCCCCATAGATGCGAGTGTTTTGAGTGTCTTCCTTATTTTGGAATCATGAATACTGACCTCAGCTGAGGAAATTGAGGCCTTTTTTAATAAAATAAATCATTAGCAAAGCAACGATTCCCTTGTTCCCTTCTACTTTTAAAATGAGTTTAATCTCCTAAGCAGTGGCTCTGTAGTGTAGTGTTTTACACATTTGCCAGACAAGTGAACAATCCCCAATTCGATCCCTTGAGGGAGAATTAGATCCCTGGAGGGAGGCACAAATCCTTTCGGGGTTACATCATGAGAGAATCCGGCCAAACCAAACACGTGGAGCTGCCTGCTGTGGTGATCTCTTGTGAATAACAACTGAAAGTAACATTTTGAATCTACTAAACGTGAATGTTTGCAGTGATGCATCTGATTTCTCTGTTGCAGGAAGCTTTGCTGTTCCACAGCCAGTGAGACACTATGCCCGGGCTGCAAAGAAGAAGAAGACAGGTATTTAAGAGGAACTATCATCACCATAGTGTGCGCATGTGAGCATTTTTAAATGTGTACATAAGTTAAAGAAAGAAAAATCCAAAAAGTATTTTTCCTCCAGGACCTGAGAGCCAACTCAACGATCTTCCTCCAACAATGCTGAAGATGGATTATGCGGCTGTTCCCCTTGCTCAAACGTAAACATATACAAAATGATTAAAATTCAGACTTTCTATTAATTATTTTATAAAAGTGGACGCACATAGTGATTGGTCTACTCTTCTAACACTAATGTATTTTCTGCTAACAGAACTGATGATCTTGTCAAAAGGCTTCTTTCACTGGAGTTGGCTAGTCATGTAAGTTTGTCTTTTTTATGTACATTGTTTGGCCCTCTTGTGGGAAAGCAGAGGCATAAACGAGTAGTTCAGCGTTAATAACTAATAATAATAATCTCATCTTCAGAAGGAAAAGCTACAGCTAAAACAAGAACAGCTAATTGCAAAGGTCCAGAGAGATGAGAGTGACCGAAGCTCAGAGGAAGTACAAGGTGAGGTGCTATATTTTTCATTATGTTGCACATAGTTTCTTCACTGAAAAAAAACACGGGATACAACTTTTATTTATTATGCGATGTTGAAATTCTCCTGTTCTTTCTCTCCTCAGTGGCTATATTGACTGCTAGAATCCGAAACTACCAGGAACATTTGCAAAAACATCATAAGGTGAGAATAAAATGCATTTAAATTAATCAGCAAATTTGTTAGGTTGACAGATTAAAATGACGTAACACATGTAGAGCACTTGACTCTCACCACTGGAAGTTTCATGTATGAATACGTCTCTCCACATTTCCTCTCTGCTTTTGTGAGGCCTGCATGTGCTACAGGATATCCTGTGTACTCCCCCACATTAAATAAAAAGATGCGTAGCATGGCCAAGGTCGGAAGTTTCCGTGTTACATCATAGCCTAAACAATTTTATTAAAATTAACAACTGTTTTTATGTGGCATGACGAAGCAGCTGTTCCTCAGTAGGTGTCCTGATTTCTAGCGCATGTTGCTCTGTTTGTATTTACTTTCGATATTCTGTGTTGTTTGATGCTAGGATAAAGCAAACAAGAGGCGAATGCTTATGGCCATTGACCGAAGGAAAAAGATTTTGAAACACCTTCGGTTGATTCGCTACGATGCCTTTGAGAAAGTGTGTGAGCAGCTGGGCATCACATACACCTTCCCCCCAGAGTACTACAGACGGGCCACCCGTCGCTGGATGGCCAAGAAAGAATTCTGCATTAAGGTAGCAAATAAATGAAGCTGTTATTTATTAACGGCACATTAATGTATACTCATATCTGTTGGGAAAAACTTAAAACTTTCCATTACACACAAGTGTAATGGAAGTGTAGCATATAGAGCATCTAGGGCATTACTCAAGCCTTCTGGAAACTCTTGTCTATACATTAAAGGTGTTATTTTATGCCCCCCACTAACACTTGGTCATATGTGTTTGTGTGTCTGTGTGTGTCATCTCAGGTCTTCAAAGCAGTGCAAAAGCAAAAAGCAGAGCAGAGGCTGAAGATAAAGCAGAGTTCAGGCTCCACAGACACGGAGTCAGCAAAGACAAATGCAGCTGAGATCTAATGAGACAAAAGCCACAATCTGTACACCTTCAGATGTAGTGATGTATCATGTAGATAAATAAATGTTTTTCCCATGCTGCCGTCACACGATTTTACTTTCTATTGTTGTCATTCTGATACCAGAACTGTCTGGAGATGTCAAAGATTAATAAGAATAAAATATCTGAGAAAGCTGGGTTGGAATAATCCTCCAAATTGTAATTGAACTAAAGCATGACTTCTAGATGTATTAATTTAAGATCTCATTTTAGAAAACCAGGAAGCCAGAAACTCAAGTATAGTATTAATATGCTAATTAGAAATAAACCTACACTGCAAATTCTCCATTTTATCTGAGAGGATACTCTGTGTTAAACCACATGGCAAAAAACTAGCGCTAAAATATTATCACTAGATCGACTCTGTGCGTTATTATGGCTTCATATCAGCACCGGTGTGTGTTTTGTTTTTGTTTTTATGTTTTGTTAATCAGCTGTCAGTGGCAGTTCACCTCATTTGTACCAAGTTGAGGCATATCAGATAAGGACTTCTTCCTGGAAGAGTACTGTTGAAGCAGTATTCAGGCTTTGTGGAAACATGAGATTGACTTAATCCAACTATGTTTAGGGTCATAAAATGCTTGTTGGTAGAATGCAGTATCATTTATCTTTTTGAGTGTTGTTTAAATGTACAGTAAGTTAATTCAAGTTAGAGAGAAATTGTTAAAAAAATCTAATTAAGAATTCCTGACATTCCTGGCATAGTGTTATATTGTAAAAATTGGTGAGGTTGCTAAAGCATCGGATTTAAATGTACAACATCACGAGGCAAGGTTAATTTAATTCTCATATAGGGTATAACAAGACCGGCATTTTCATTAAAAGCTATTTTTACATTATATATTAATATGAAAAGAAGGCTTTAGTTTCGTATAGTTTTGTGCTTATTCAAATCCTGAGTAAATCCATCCCTTCTTTTGCATGCTGCACTAGTGATATAGTGTTCTAATAGATTAAAACCTCAAGACACGAACGTGTTGCATTTGTGGGTGTCATATGAAAGTGTGACCTTAACAATTCTAACTGCATGGCTTCCCTGAAGTCTACTGATCTGTCATGAGATCAGAAAAACTTTAAACTCTCAGTCACATACATGTGCTTGTGACCTTGTGATTTGAGGTTGTACACTTTATCAGACAAAAAAAAAAAGCAATTCCTGTTAATGGACTGATTTTTTGCCAGTGAATCGCCACAGATCTTTGTCGTCCCCAGAAAGTGCAGGCTGTTGCCAAACCAGCGTTTCACAGCTCAAGCTCGTCACAATTTCCTGTGTGGTGTGCAACTTGTCATTTTGAGCAGGTGGAGCTCATACTCTCACACTCTTCTGGTAAGTGACACCATTTTTTCCTTTCGCAGCAGATAAACTTAAAAGTTAAATATTCTTAAATTAAACATAAAAATTATATTTGCAATTCGTGCGCATGTTATAGTTAAAAGTTGGCCTTTCCGTTATGGCTGCCTTGATACAAGATAACATGGGCTTTCATTTGTTCTTTGGGTTAAAAACCACATACATGGCTATCTTTCATACGATATTGTGAAAATAGTCCATGTTACACTAACGTATTCCTGCAACAATGTTTTATTTAGAAATATATATTTTACAGGGAAAGTCCAAAAAGTATTTTTTAAATCATAATTTGATTTACCTCAAATGACAGAGTAAACTGTTGCATGCTGTGTTGAGGAGGGTTTTCTGTAAATATGTGATGTTAATTAGTGTGCAAATATCTAATGCTCTCTAATGTGTTTTTGACTAGGTACTTAAATCACAGAGCAAATAAACAGACCAAGTAATCCAAATGTCAAACCCAGTGGTCACCCATCAACCAGGTGCTGGCGGCTATGGGACTAATGTTCAAACAGGAGAGTGGAGCACAGGCTTGTGTGCCTGCTGCAGTGACTGTTTGGTCTGTAAGTACAAGACACATCATTTGTGCATGCACACTTTGTTTTGTTCGTTTTAGACATTCATAAATGTACTCGTGTTGTTTAGGTGCCGTCGGTTGTTTTTGTCCACTGGCACTGAGCTGCTACACAGCAAATAAGTATGGTGAAAACTGCTGTTTGGGTTGCGTGCCTGGAGGCTTAACAGCCATGAGGACTCACATGAGATTAACCTATGGTATTCAGGTATGTTACCCATGCAACTCAATGCAGTTATTATAAAATCCAAACTTCAGAATACCGTACCTTATGCAATTAGTCTTTAGGTTGTAAGTATTGCACGTATGATAGTCTGTTTCAGTCTTGCTTTTATGAAAGACACAGATTTTGCAAACATAGGAAATTTTGTGCGTTTCCCACAATTGAGAAATCTGCAACATTTCTGTAATTTATGCAATCTTTTAACCACAGGGAACAATATGTAACGACGCCTTGATGATCTTCTTCTGTGGACATTGTGAAATGTGCAGGATGGCAAGAGAAATCCGCATCAGGAATGGAGAGATTTCACAGTAACAAGAGTTTTTCATGATGCTCAGCTATTGTGGAAGTAACTTGTTTACCCATGGAGCTTTCATGCAAACCAAAAAAAGCATTTAATGAAGTATGCATTTATGTGTGTATTAAATCTTTGGCCCTAACTTGCAAGAGCAATTGTGTATTATTGTAAATAAAGTGCATTTTCAACAGGCATCACATTTTTTGAACAACTTTTTGAAATTTGATGGCTCACCTTATATCATTTATTTCTCAACGTAAGAGTTATGCAACTAAAAACGTCCAAAAAAGCTTCTAGAAAAGATTGTTGGGTATTATCGTAAATCAGTTGTGAGCAGCTGAGTAAAAGGTTGATCTTCCTTATGAATTATAATATCGTTATAATTGTCATATAAGTCGAATTGTACTGGTTAGAATGCTTAGACTTGCCATGAAACCACTGGTTTGCATTATATTATATATAATTATATAATATGTATGACTACATGGTGAAAAATGGTCCATCTATCTCTAATCAGTGAGCTTCTAATTTACAACGCGGTTGTACCTCGTCTAATCCCGCCCCTTTCTTTTACGTATTTACTACATAGGGCTCTGATTGGCTATTTATTTCGTGGCCTGGCAACCAGAAGCGGCTTTACCAAACAGACAGACTACCCACCAGCTAAAACATTCGAGCTAGCTGTTTTGTCTGGAAAGATTCAGCTGTTCAAATTCCATCATGTCTTCAAGGACTCTGCCGCTGCTTTTCATTAATCTCGGCGGGGAAATGTTGTACATCCTAGACCAGCGTCTCCGAGCTCAGAATATCCCTGCTGACAAAGCTAAGAAAGGTAGCTAGTTTAGCAGCTTTCCAGCTAGCAACACAATTGTTATCCTGTTCCAGAAAAAATATTAATGTTAGACCGCAGTAAGTGCACATGTATGTTGTTCGTTTGCTTGTTTCTGTATTGATGATGTCGGTGTCTCTGTCGAATCAGAAAGTCAAAATAAGACATGTCTTTTCGTAGGAGAGTGTGACTGTAAAGCCCTGTAAAACAATTGTGTATTGTTGCCGCTCTGTCAGTTTAAAAGATATCACTGGTTTGTTGTAAAATGATATTAGATGATGTTAAGCATTAACCACCAGCACACGTGGCAGTCTTAAAATCAGCTGTTTACTTACGTACCATTTCCCTTTGGATTGATAAAGTTTCCACAATACCTGGCTGGATAGAGGCGGACAGAAAGAGAGGTATTATAACAAGACGCAATGAGGCGCTGATGCATTAGTAGCTCTTTTGCTCTGCTTTGGCTTAGCCTGAACCCATGCCATGCGTAAATAATGAATGAATAACGGATGAGCTGACAAACAATGTCCTGCTTCATTGGTTGTAACAACCTTTCTTATGTGTGTCTGTATTCCAAAACTCCAGTTTTCAAGCTTCCAAGGTGGCGTTCGCATACATATGCTGGACAAATTACTTCACTTCATGAACCAAAGTGAATTAGTCATATACCTTGAACCCCCAGTAAGTTAGCCACAAAATAATGTTACTTTCCCAAACTTGAGTGATCTAAAATGTAAGCACTTTTTAACTAAACCCTAAAGGTTTAGTTAAGGTAAGTATTGCTGCTGCAATACTGGTAAAAAAAAAAGGCAAAACCTCCCCCCACCCTCCAAAAAAACATCTTTGGCTGTAGGATTTCTGATAAATAGGTCTGCTGCTTTGTTAGGGTCTTTGGGTTTCAGCTCTGGGTAAAATCGTTTTCGGCAATGTAGAGTGTAGAGCGCTAATCTGCCTGCTTCTGAGCCAATAGTATGGGAAGGGCATTTGTCTAACCTTAATTAACATTTTGTGCTTAATTGCTTGTCTGAATAGTTATGAATGACATCATCACCACCATGTTTAACAAAAAGTTCCTGGAGGAGCTTTTTAAGCCACAGGAGCTTTATTCCAAGAAGGCCCTACGGACCGTGTTTGACAGGTTGGCCCACGCATCCATAATGAGACTCAATCAAGCTAGTATGGACAAGGTAAGACATCATGTATTCATATACAGCCTTTACTCTTGTGCTCCCAATATTTTGTTTGCATTTTTAATTACAAGCATTGACTTTCTATCCATGCACCAGTTACATTTCTTCAAAACCACACAGAGATGTTTTTATCACAGCCTTTTCATTAGATTTGCCTTCATGCCAATCAATATAAATCAAGTGTATAATGTAACATTTTTGTTGTGTTTAAGCATAAGGCACATTCATTTACATACTATGTCTCCCTCTACTGTTTATCACTCAAAAACGGCATGCATTTATTTCTGATGCCTAAGACAATGTGTTGATGAATGTGTCCCTGTTCATAGCTCTATGACTTGATGACCATGGCTTTCAAGTATCAGGTGCTTCTCTGTCCACGACCTAAGGACATCCTCCTTGTGTCCTTCAACCACATGGATGCAATCAAAGACTTTGTGAAAGATACTCCCAGCATTCTCAGCCAGGTTGATGAGACTTACCGACAGCTGATAGAGGTACTACATGTGGGACTTTGCTGTCTTCACATTTGTTACAAGAAAATATAGTCAGAAATATTTTATATTGCTTGTGGGGATTTTTTTTTCTGCAGTTTGCAGCAAGATGTATATGGTTTTAAAAAAAAAAGTAGCATGCAAAGAAGCTCCCCTTGGTTAACTACATAAAGATAAATGAAGAAGATAAGAAAAGCTCATGGGGGAAAGAAAATCAAGGACATTCTTAATAAGAGTGTAATCACGTGGCATATGAACTGGTTTAACACTCTTATACTGCAGCTGGTGATGTACTGAGAGTCACTACTTCTCCTCAGGCCTTCTCCTCCAAGACAAAACTCACCTCTTGTGTTAGAAATGACCAAGCAAGCTATGAAGGCCCACTTAAGACAAAGAAAGCCATCTAAGCTAGCGATTTCAATTCTGTGTTGCCAGTACCGCCAGCATAAATAAATGTTTTCACCAGTTTAGATTTTTTTTTAATACCAATATGTATTTTTAGATGTATACGCCTTTGTCCAGTGGTGAATTCCAGCTGATTAGACAAACTCTTCTTATCTTCTTTCAAGACATGCATATAAGGGTGAGTCATCATTTGTGACTTTTTATTATGAAGATGGTATAACTAATTTTTTCCTGCTTGTTCAGTTAATGTTTACTTTCTCTGTGTTTGTACCTTCTTCTATGGCAGGTTTCTATTTTCCTCAAGGACAAAGTGCAGAATTCAAATGGCCGCTTTGTTCTTCCCACCAGTGGTCCTGTGCCCCATGGCACTCAAGTCCCTGGCTTGATAAGGTACCACAGTAAAGAGCTCTTATCCCTCAGACCCAGGCAGTCTGAAGTTTAAAGAATATTGTCAATAAGTAAGACTAAATAGGTGGCTTTGATAATATACTCTTTCTCTTTTCATTGAACTTTAATGTCTGCTGCTTTGTCTTGCATATTGTCTCTTTGCTATCTTACTTGGACACCGTAATCTGATTTTACGTAAGCTTATCTGTAGCTAATTGCATTACAGAGGTCTCGTTCAAGAAGTATTTGACTTCTAATTTTAGATACCGTGCACGTTTAGCTTGGATCAAAATTCTTAAGGATTTGCTGTGTGAAACATTTAAGCAGGAAATAAAGGCTCTTTATCATACTATGTACTAAATGCTTTCCTGTCTCTATTTCTCTCATGTGTGTGTGTGTATGTCATTTTTTTGTAGGATGTTCAGCTGTACAGGTGAGGAATTCACCAGGCTGAAGTTCAATAATGGAGGGAACTATACCACTGCACTCCGTGAAGGCTCTTTTGACATCTTTGGTGATAGAGTCACAAAACTGGGCACAAACATGTACGATGCTGGAATCTTCCCTTATATAAACATGCCTTGTTGTTTTTATGCAGTTTTCATTTTTTGTGATGGTAAGCCAGGACGAGAGGGATTTTAAGCACACAAAAGAGAAATTACCTGATTAACTTTTATAAAGGATAATGAAAGGAACTGCAAAAGCACCCTTGAGGTAGTGTATTGTGTTAAGGATCATTATCTTGTTGTGGACGGCATTTTTTTTTTTTTTTTAACTAATACTGTGTTTAGTTTCCAGAATTTGCTTAAATTAATTAATTCTTCTTTCTACTAGTTGCACTGGCTACCACAAGAGCCTAAAGCATATCAAATTCAACCTATCCTGCACAGCTGGAGAGGGGTGCATTTGATTAAAATCACCATCCTTTTATTCTACACATATACCTTTGCTGAATGTAGCTCTAAAAATGTCAGTCTGTAGTACTTGTTTCCACAATGCACAAGGTTTGGTTTAGGTGTTGATTTGCAAACGTCTGATGCTTAGTTTTGTGGTAAGGATACAGGAAATGTTTTCTTCTGATGGTGGTCACGTTTGCACAGCTGTTGCAGCACAACAGAACAGTTCAGCTTCGTGTTAAATCTTCCCGAAGGCCTTTTGCATTCAAACAACAGCTTTTTTTTTTTTTTAGTAATCCTACAATTTCTCTCTGAAAGTTCTCTTAGTTTTCCAAACCCCACCCTCCGTTTTTGCTAATAATTGATGTTTTTCAGAATGATAGGCAGCTGCTTTCATTGCTTAAGCTGTGAATTGTTCATTAAAAGCTTAAGCAGTGAGTCACAGCTTTGAAAATTTCATCATCTGGCATTTCCTTGTGAAGTATGTGCACAAAGCCCTAAAAACCAAATTTTGGTCTGACACTAGTCAAAACTTAGCAGAGCACAGATGTCTTGGTGTGCATTGTTTCCTTTTTCACTTTAAAATTGTACAAACCATTCTTACAATGTTGAAAGACTGTTTCATTATCAGTGTTTGAACACCATTGTATGTTGACACGTTTTCTCCCTTTTTTAAAAAAAACCCCAAAATGTAGGTACAGTGTAAGTCGCCCAGTGGAAACTCACATGTCTGGCACATCTAAAAATTCTGCTCAGCATACAAAGGTGAAAACTGACAATTTCAATAACGCACAAAACGATTATAAATGTAAAGCATACAACTTCACTTTTAAATTTAACACACCGTTGTGTGTCAACAGGTCAGCGCTGCTCCAAACCCTCTGGCCAAAGAGGAACTGAACCTGCTGGCCAGGTTAATGGGAGGGTTAGAAGTTCAGAAACCAGGAAACGCAGACACTGGCTTCCGAATTAGCCTCTTTGCTACTGACGAAGAAGAAGAGTGAGTGTCCATACAGTGGGGCAAAAAAGTATTTAGTCAGCCACCGATTGTGCAAGTTCCCCCACCTAAAATGATGACAGAGGTCAGTAATTTGCACCAGAGGTACACTTCAACTGTGAGAGACAGAATGTGGGAAAAAAAAAATCGAATCCACATGGTAGGATTTGTAAAGAATTTATTCGTAAATCAGGGTGGAAAATAAGTATTTGGTCAATAACAAAAATACAACTCAATACTTTGTAACATAACCTTTGTTGGCAATAACAGAGGTCAAACGTTTACTATAGGTCTTTACCAGGTTTGCACACACAGTAGCTGGTATTTTGGCCCATTCCTCCATGCAGATCTTCTCGAGAGCAGTGATGTTTTGGGGCTGTCGCCGAGCAACACGGACTTTCAACTCCCGCCACAGATTTTCTATGGGGTTGAGGTCTGGAGACTGGCTAGGCCACTCCAGGGCTTTCAAATGCTTCTTACGGAGCCCCTCCTTTGTTGCCCGGGCGGTGTGTTTTGGATCATTGTCATGTTGGAAGACCCAGCCTCGTTTTATCTTCAAAGTTCTCACTGATGGAAGGAGGTTTTGGCTCAAAATCTCACGATACATGGCCCCATTCATTCTGTCCTTAACACGGATCAGTCGTCCTGTCCCCTTGTCAGAAAAACAGCCCCATAGCATGATGTTTCCACCCCCATGCTTCACAGTAGGTATGGTGTTCTCGGGTTGCAACTCAGTATTCTTCTTCCTCCAAACACGACGAGTTGAGTTTATACCAAAAAGTTCTACTTTGGTTTCATCTGACCACATGACATTCTCCCAATCCTCTGCTGTATCATCCATGTGCTCTCTGGCAAACTTCAGACGGGCCTGGACATGCACTGGCTTCAGCAGCAGAACACGTCTGGCACTGCGGGATTTGATTCCCTGCCGTTGTAGTGTGTTACTGATGGTGACCTTTGTTACTTTGGTCCCAGCTCTCTGCAGGTCATTCACCAGGTCCCCCCGTGTGGTTCTGGGATCTTTGCTCACCGTTCTCATGATCATTTTGACCCCACGGGATGAGATCTTGCGTGGAGCCCCAGATCGAGGGAGATTATCAGTGGTCTTGTATGTCTTCCATTTTCTGATGATTGCTCCCACAGTTGATTTTTTTTCACACCAAGCTGCTTGCCTATTGTAGATTCACTCTTCCCAGTCTGGTGCAGGTCTACAATACTTTTCCTGGTGTCCTTCGAAAGCTCTTTGGTCTTGGCCATGGCGGAGTTTGGAGTCTGACTGTTTGAGGCTGTGGACAGGTGTCTTTTATACAGATGAGTTCAAACAGGTGCCATTCATACAGGTAACGAGTGGGGGACAGAAAAGCTTCTTACAGAAGACGTTACAGGTCTGTGAGAGCCAGAGATTTTCCTTGTTTGAGGTGACCAAATACTTATTTTCCACCCTAATTTACGAATAAATTCTTTACAAATCCTACCATGTGAATTCATGGATTTTTTTTTTTTCCACATTCTGTCTCTCACAGTTGAAGTGTACCTCTGGTGCAAATTACTGACCTCTGTCATCATTTTAGGTGGGGGAACTTGCACAATCGGTGGCTGACTAAATACTTTTTTGCCCCACTGTATGTATCAGATGTAATGATTTCATTACTATTCCAAATGTGAAAATACTTTTTATTTTCTTTGAAACAATCAGAAGTAACACTGTGACTCTGTTACAGAGAGGCATTAATATCAAGACCCGATGAGCTTTCATATGGAGTCATAAACATCCAAGCAACCAAGGTAAATCTAAATGACCTTAAATCGCAGCCAACTTGTGTAGGAAAGCTGCATATCCAGCATTTTTTGTAGTGTGTGTGTGTGTGTGTGTGTGTGTGTGTGTGTGTGTAATTGGCATATTTATTTACAGAAAAGCAATTTGTCATCAAAGGGCAAGGGTAGACTATAAAATTGAAAATCTCAGTATTGTTGTTCTTTTCAACACTATGAGAACTTTGTTGTTTTTGTCACTGCAGAAACTACACAACTGATTACAGACCAGGAAAACTTACAAAATTACACTGGTATTTGTTATGCTTTAGACAATCTGCTTCCCTTTCCCTTCTATCTCTGATGGGGTGCCGCTCTTCTCCCACTTTAACCTCCATATATAAACATCTTGCTTTTCCAGTGAAATGAAACTTATCTGAAAACAGACCTTAGTTCTGAAAAATCTCAATGCATGATCAGGACTCTTCATGGAATTATTTGAATTATAGGACTCATTGTAACAGCCATGAGCACAGCTTTCATAGAGGTTCTAGACTGTTTATTAAAGTAGCATCCGTCATACAGCAGGTGAAAGGATACATTTCAGATCTGAACAAATGCCCTATTGCTCGCCCCTTTGAACCAAGAAGCAAGAGAGGTAAACTTCAAAAAGACTGAATCAAGGCTTCTTATCTCTGACAGGGGGGCGGGGGAAATCCAGTCGAACCACTGATGGACTATTTGTTCCTGCCTCTGATAAAACCTTTATTGCGCTGAGGGCTAAATGTTACTTATCTCAGTGTTGGGCTTAAGACTGTATAGTAATTGATTCAAGATGTGAGGCTTTGCCAGACCAACCAGATTTACTGTGATGAGGCTCAAATCCCTGTAATGGCCCATCCAACACTCTGATTGGTGCGTTTTATTGTCTTTCAGGACCAGCAAGCCAATGCAGAGTTGGCCAAGATCATGGGTGAATTTACAGAGTCAGGAGATCAGTCTCCCAGTGTCAGCAACAAAGGGGACGACCTTCTGGCCATGATGGACGGTTTGTGACATGGTCACAGTGACAGAAATGGCCAGGGATTGGGAACATTGCGTTGTCAACAGTCCGCACTACTAAAGACCAGTCTGCTTTCCATACCTGCAAATGCACTACAGCAGAATCGCATGCAGCCAGAAAAACTGCTTGTTCAAGTGCTTTTACAAAGCAGGTGTGAGCAGTTTTGTTGTCAGACGATCAGCTGCATATTTGCATTCAAGAACAAAGAATGTGTGGTGAGGCAAGCATTAAGCTGTAATAGTATGTTTGCTGTAAACACAAAGGTATTTCGGTTCAATGTACAGTTGGCTTATTGTATATTAGTTTATTGACCATGTGATAATAGCAAAACAAGTGTTTATACAGTGTAATATCTTGCAGCTTTTATTCTATTCTATGTAATATTCTTTAAATTATTTTAACAGTTGCAATGACCGAACAGTTTGAGTCAATTTTCAGACTGAGTCCACAGTTTGGTGCTTCTTTATTTCTAATTATTCCCCTTTTGAATTGTATCTTAATTTACACCATCCAGAGAAGAAGTTTGTGAATTCTTCTGTTCTAATGAACAAGTGACTACGTGATGAGAGAACTGGAGGAAACCCAAGTGCTCTTTTTCAGTGTGACATGAATTCTTTAGAGTCTTTATTTGGTAACAAATGTGTTTATCATACTGTTCTACCTTAAAAGAGTCTGAGGAGCAACTTGTAAGACATATTCCATTATCCTGTGATGTGTATGTAAAGTATAGAAATAAGATAAGATAGAACTTTATTAATCCCTCAGGTGGGTTCCTCTGGGAAATTCGATTTCCACAAAAAAGCACAGCAATGACCGAAGTTACAGTTACAGAATTGTTATACACACACACACACACACACACACACACATACATAAATACAGAGACAAATATAAATAAAATATACAAAAGGGGATAAATAGGAATAAAAAAATAAAAATACAAGTGAATTGCACATGAGGGTTTGATTTTTGTTTGTTTGTTTGTTTTTGAATAAAAAAAAATCTAATCTCTTGAACAGATTATTGTATTAAATGCATCACCAGTTTGGGTTCTGATGCAACAAAGTGTTAATACTGGCATGAACCTTGAAACAGCTTGTTGTAGTTAATACTTTCAAGCAGTAGGTGGCGCGATCTGACTTTGCAACACAGTTTGTATTGTTAAGCAATGTATCACACGGGACTCCACTTAGTTAAAATCCTGCAAAAAAAAAAAAAGTGATCACTGTGGAGGACTCAATGAAGTGCATTTTAAAAGTCAGAGCAATTAAGGCTTTGTATGTTTAAGCATTTACCAGCAAATTTGAAAACTACAATCACCATGCTTCAATATCTCCACAAAACTTCTCTTCTGCAGTACAGACACCTAATGAGAACTGCTACTGAAACAGTTGTCTCTTGTACGTGTCGGCAAGAAAAACATGCTGAGACACTTCTCCAGATTGATCTTGGTGAGGTCTTCCCAATAATCTTGGCAAAGGGGAGACAAGAAACACTGTATGCCCTAAGGATACAGCCTACTTCCAAAACAAACAGAAACTTAAGCTCATACCAGTCATCCTGCAAGACTCTTTATTAGAATCAGCCACCTGAATCAGCAGCACTTCAGAAGAAACAATGCTTCACCATAAAGCTTTGCAAACAAAAACTGCACTTCTTGTTCAATTGGTGCACGCAGTAATATAAAAAGGGGGGTGATTTTGAATTAATAATGTCCATGCAGCCTTGCCCTAAGCATGATAACAACAACCCTCTAACAGGTTTTCCCATAGACCCCATGTTTGAGTTATGATTCAGTTTCCTCTTTAAAAACTGTGGGCAGGACACTATAAAGCCACAGGGTGACATGCGTTTCATGTGGCTGGGGGTATATGCTCGGCTGAGTCAAGGCAGGAAGACTAGTGCAACTCAAATAAGGATCTGATATTTAGGTTGCCCTCTCTGTGTCTGTCACATCTTCCCACTGGTTTGAAACTGGTACACGTGGGTGGAATTTAAGGTCAAGGTAAGTCTAAATTGAGATAGGTGGGCTCTCCTAAATGCCACTGTCATTCAAGACTGTTTTTACTGAGTAAATGACTAAGACTTTTACTTTTGAGTGGGGTCTACTGGTTGGCTGTTGCTGAATAACATACAGAGAGCCCTTGTCAAGAAGACATTTCTCCAAATTGATCTAGAAGAGAGGGACCAGATATCGTAAATATGTTATGTATTTATCAGATGAAGATCTGAATGAATTCAGTGATACACAGTTTCACTGAGTCATATGGTTGACCTAAATTAAGTGTACTATGTAGGTCATTAAAGAGAATCTGCAAGGTAAAGCCTTATGAAGCAACAATTCAGAGATCTCCTTACGTAATTGTGCACGAAACAGTTAAATGAAAAGTAAAGTCAGTGAGTAAAGTTTAAGACTGCTGTGTTTAATGTAATATTATAAATTATACGGAATTCCCTTTAATGTTAGTTTTAACAAATGCAAGTTGTTTAATGTAAAAGCTTCACCCCTATTAATCCCGCTTCATTGTGAGTACAATCTTGCTCAAATAAACAAAGGAAAAACCCATGATTTATCATATTATCTGTAATTAAGTTGCCAGCAAAACATGACATTGCAAACATCATCCTTCAGTATGATTTACAATAAGCCTCTTCAACTCTTATGTAATCATTTTCACTTTGCAACTTTTATCATGCAAAGATAATATTTTTTAAAATGCAAGAAAGAACGCTAATTAAATCTTAGACTGTCTGGCAGACAGTCTTGTAGCTAAACTTCTATTTGCATAGAATTTCATCATCACTCTGAAACGGCTATGAAAAAACTGCCTGCATTGGTTGAGTGCGGCTGTCAATCAAATAAATTGTGTGCGTCATTTCCGTTGTCAGGTGGCGCTGTCGCTGTGGAAAGATGCGATCAGCGAAGAGCGGAGGCTTTTCCTTAATTGCTCATTTCGGTAATAGAGGCTAAAAAAGCCGAAAGCAAACCTCTGTGGTGTCTGCTGTGTAAAACGCGAAGCGCCTCACATCTACCGCAGCGTTCACCGAAGAAATGTCCATGTTTTAAGGAGGCGACACAGATTTAACCCGGCGGTTTAGGCTCGAGGTAAGTGAGATGGTGACTACGTTGCTATCTAGCTTTTTGGCACGGCTAGCCAGCTGTAATGTTACCTACTTTGTTTAAATGGCCTGCCGCCTGCTCTGTAGCCTCGAGCTTGGCGTTAGCTCACATCGCTCGCCAGGAGCAACCATATTTAAACCTCTTGGGTACGCGAGAAGACACGTAAAGCAGCCGTATTTCAGCTAACAGCCGCTCAGTGTAGTTGTCACCGAAATACTAACTCCTTGTTGTGCTGTGTGCCCCCTTTGTGTGGTCGGTAGATCCGTATTTAGCCGAGTAAATCGATCATATTCGCTGCCGTACCAAGTTTGTATGCGTGCCTAACATTGGTTTTATGTCGCTGTCGGTAAGTGTACAATGTAAAAATAACTTGCCTTGTGGTGTTTAAGCAATTGCCGCAATCAAGCATTCATTTATTCGCGCTTTGCAGTCTGGTTTAGATGCGTGTACCTAAACGTTTGAGATCGTTCAGGTAGTTTTTGTTCAAAGAGATCTATAGAAGAGCCAGACATCAGCGTCTGGCTGCTGGAGTACTGAGCTGCCTGTAGAGTGAATTTGTCCAAGTTGCAAAGCATAACGTCAGCGCTTCACTCTACGACCCGTCTCGTTTACAGTGCTTGCTGCCAGGACTGAACGGTGTCCAGTCCAGACCTTGTGGTTGCAAAATGGCACCAAACGACGTGTGTGTGTGCGTGTGCGCGTTTGTAGTTATTTTTGTCAGGTGATTTGCAATGTGACCTTGTGTCCACGACGTTGGTGTATGGTCAAGGGCGTTGTTTTTGCCAGAATCTAGTCGGCTGCATCTAGGAGCAGGGGCAGCGTGTGAACGGATATCGGTAGCATTGCATTTAAGCATAAGGACTGGAGATCTGACCTTGGAGTTACTTTGTCTGTAACTGGCTTTGCATCTGTGCATGTGTTATAGCATACCTTTCTGCACGGTTTTACTTTGTAATGTTTACTACCGGAGTGCCATTTTGCTTTTTCTCCATCTCTGTACTACCTTGCTATCGCAGTTCAGCTTTTCTTGCAGGCCAGACAAGTGGCTTGGAGTCTGGGTGGGTGGATCTTGAGACACCTACGTGGTTGTTTTGTTCTGATACTATTTAAGGAGCCCACATTTCTCGTGGGCACTGGCAGCGTGTCTCTCCTCCTTTTGTGTGATATGATTCAGAGGCTTTATCTGTTCTTGTCCTCCATCTGATACAGGCAGAGGCAGCCTTGCTTACTAGATCATAGGCTGTGCAGAGAGGCACAGCAGTGTCAGAAAAGGAACCGTGTGTTGTCATCACGCTGAAGTAATTTAGGTCGGTGTGGATAAATTGGTTAAATTGACCTTTGCTTTCTTTGATGACTCTCAGGTTGGCGACACAGTACTGCAGCTAGTTTTTTAGTAAGTACCTGAATAGCTTTGGGTTCATTTGTGTGTTGTATCTGCCTATGAGTCATTTTAGTGTTGTAGTTCAAGGTGCATAAGCATTTCGGCTTATTCGGTTGGAAGAGAGAGTTGCTCCATGTACTTATTTAACTCTAGCACTCATCCACAATTTAGTTTATTTTCTGGAAACGCTGGAAGCCCCGTGTACACGGTTCGTTCTGTTAGCTTCTTTGGCGGCTGCCTGAAAAATTAATTTCCTGCCCACAAGTCTCATAAATTGTAATGCCTAATTATCTGTTGCTTTGTGTCCTCTAGTGTAAGATGCTTTCTTACTACTGGCAGCATGACTTGGTGTCACTCTGGCTTGTGCCATAAATGCAGTCAGAAAACCTCAGCTCATCAGACTCAGTGGGTGATGACTAGTGGAGATGGAGACAGATGGGCGAGAGACATGATGATGACACTGTCTGCTGTCTGGGATCACAAAAAGCCTCATGGAAGTGAGAATTCATACCAGCTCTACTGACTGCCAACTGTCCTGCCTCCTCTCTGCCCAAAAAAAAATTACTAACTGGCAGTGGTGCACGATTAGTTTTGAAACAGGAAGATGGGCAGGTTCATTAAAAAGAATTTTCTGGAGTTTGTCGGATGCAAGATTGAGATATTCTAAAGCTTTTTGGGTCTCCATCAAACTTAAAAAGATGTTGTATAATATAAGGTTTTTGTGTGTGGGGAATCTCTGCTGTGGCTCAAATATGCATACTACTTATCAGTGACATTTAACGTAGAGATGCGACACTCAGATATATCGCTTGTATGTGGACATTTTGTGTGAGCTTTTCTATCTCTAAGCTGCACCTGCCAGAGGCTTGTGCAGACTCTTATCGGTGTCATCGCTTAGACTTTTAAGGCTCTCTGGACGACAGCTGGGTGAATCATTCCTCTCGGTTCAGGGCACTACTTCCCTGTTATGGGAAACGGATGGGGTTTCATTACATAGGAACTCTGTATCAGTAAACAAAACATGCTGCATACCTCTTGCTCTCTGAATTCTGGGAGGCAGATCAGATCTGCTTGTGTCAGTTAACGTAGTTTGTGTGTGCAATGATGTGTCACACTCTCTCTGCTTTTTCTGGCATGTGAATAAAGTTCCTATCAGGACACTTTATTTTATTTATTTTTTTTTCCCCCTCTGTAGTTAGAATATATCCGTTCAGATAGTCCTGGCTGTACAACAGATTTAGAGCGGAAGGATTTTCTGAATAAAGTCCACTGCAGCAGGAAAAGCTAAAGATTAAAGTATTAATCGGAAAAGCTTCCATCTTAAACAGTATTGTGC